ACGCATCCGCATGACATCAGAACGACGTCCCATGACGAAAAGACGAGGAGGTTGAAGCCTCGCCTCGTTTCGCCAAACTCAAAACCAACCCCAAACCTTGCTGATGCCGTGTGACGGACTAGCGCGGACCCAACGCTCGGGACGTTTAGGGTTTGGTATGCGAAAAGGGCTATTTTTGCGCATTAGCAAGAACGGCAGGTAGGGGTGTGGTTCTTTGACCCGTTTTCTTAATTTCTTAATAACGGGGCATTGGGGGCGGCCGGTGGTTATTGGATGACGATTTGTGACGATTTGTGACGACGGGTGCTGAGAGGGAGGAAAGTACGATGATAAGATTTTTTGTATGTTTGTAGCGAAGGAGTGTGTTTAGTAATGGTCTGGAAGAGCAGAAATGCATCGTACCTAGGTACCGGCGTGTATTTGAAGGGGCAAGCGCGCTTCATCCTCATCATGTGCCTTGCCTTTTGCAGTACGACGTACTTCACACAAGAGCCTCACACACGCGTCTCTCACGCTCTACCCACAGCCAAATCAGGTTCACAGTCACTCACAGTCAATCAACGCCATCCCACGGACAGCTTATACTCAAGACACGCATGCATTCATCTCCAGCTCATCTTCCCAAAAAAAAAAACGAACTTATTCAGGCATTAAGTCATCTCGAATGATAAGAATCTGTCTTTACATCTCTCTCGCTCTCTCACTTCCCCATCTCCCCATTCCGTTCTTCTTCCCCACTCATCTTTTCTCTCCAACCTCCTCCGTCTTCCACCTCTCTTCTCACGATCAAATCAGAACAACAGTATGAAAGAAAATGGTATAGCAAAGACGGGTCTCAGACCCAATCCACCCTCTCCTTCCACCTGCACTTGTCTCGCTCGCTCCTTCGTCTTAACCAACAAAAAGGCCTCTCCTACACACAAAGTGCAGATAAAGCGAATGCAAGAAGAATATATATGTGTGAGAGTGTGTTTGTGTGTGAACAGACAAGGAGAATATTTGTAGGTAGGTAGGTAGGTAGGTAGGTAGGTAGGTAACGATAAGTATGGAAAGACAAAGACCAACGACATGATCAGAGTAAATAGCGTGGTTGCGTAATCAAGAACAGCGCCCAAGGAAGCCATAGCAAAACGCCCGATAACAACAACAGAAGCAGAGAAAGGGTTTGTAAGGACCAATCGCCGCCCTGTCTCCTAGCCCCAAAAGCCCAAAGAGAAGCCCCGTTATGCTCCAATAAGAGAGAAGAGATGATGGCCCAAAAAAAGCGATCGATGTAGATAGAGCGCCGTCTCGAAAGACGAACATAAAGGGTATATGAAAACAAGAGGGGGGTTTGTTTTTTGTTGTTTCACCAAAACAGCCAGCCAGCCAACTAACTAACCGACGACGACGACGATACTATACTTCCGTGGGATTGGGGAAATCAAAGTCGCTGACTAGATTGCCAAAAGCGTCATTGTCGTTGCCCGTCTGTAGAAACGAGTCAAAGTCGAAAGTTTCGAGGGCGCCAGCGTCGTCGCCAAAGTTGAGGCCGAGATCGAAGCCGTTGGGCTATTCGTTCTGTTAGTAGATGTTACGCTAAGTAGAGAGAGTCTAAAACTTACGTCACCATCAATGTTACCAAATGGCGGACCCCCGTTGTCCATGTTTTGGTCGGAAGGCGGTTGGGGTTGCACAGGTTGCGGCTGGCCGTTTTGTCCCTGATTGAAGGATTGCTTGTGTACTGGCGTGATGGGTGCGACGGGAGTGGAGGATGTAGGTGTGGGTGGTTCTTCGCCGTTTGTCGTGGCGGGAGTAGAACCTGCCGCCCCCTTTTTGTTGTTTGCGGGCTTCTAAAATCAATATCAACGATGCTCGAGGGTGTAGGAGAAGCGCGAGACGTTACCTTGTTGTCTTTGGTCACCTTCTTCTTGGGGTTGGCCTTGTTTCCTTGATTCGGGGTCGGTGGTGCCTGGTTAGACACGGATGGAGAGGGTTCTGGTCGGGGTGGTTCGTTCGTGGGCGCTGGAGGCGGTGGCATTTGTTGCCGCTGTTGAGGGTTTTGGCCCATCGGTCCTCCCATCTGCTGGCCGCCTGGACCCATCATACCCGGTTGGGGCCCTCGCCAACCGTTCTGTTGCATCTGGCCATTGCGCATGGCTTCCATTTGCGCAGGCGTTAGTTGCTGACCATTGAAGTTGGGCGGCTGCGGATGTGAGCTCGGAGGCCGCATCATGGGGTTGCCGTTCGGGCCGGACATATTCTGGGGATAGAATTGTGGAGGCATTCCTGGGGGTGCCAGACTGGGGTCGAAGTTCATGTTGGGTGCGGGAGATGCACGTTGCTGCCCCATCATTCCCTCAGGCATAGGCGAGCCAGGCAGATTTTGCTGGCCGAGCTTCGGTGTGCCTCGCTTCATCTGGTCGGCGGGGTTGGGTGATGGGCCGCCGGCTCTGCTACCTTGAGGCGACATGGCTGCGCCAAAACCTGGGGCGCCAATAACGCCCTGCTGAGGATGTCCAGATTGATTGTCTTGCTCTTGGCGGGCCATGAGTAACCGTTTCTTGTTCTGCTGCTCGAGCAGCATGAGCTGCATCTGGTAGTCCTGCAGCGCGTGGTTGCCCTGCTGGGGAGCGCCTGGAGGGTTGTTGGGCATGTTGCCGGGCCGTGGACCGTTGCCGGCGAAGGCTAGGTCTTGCCCGTCGAGGCCGGACTGGGCCATGGGGGAGCCTTGGACGCCAGAGTTCATACCCTGGGGGGAGGAAGTGTTACTCATTGCCACTCTGTGTTGATGGGCCAGACTTTGGGCATATACCTCGATGTTCTTCTGCTGCGCACCTGGGCCTTGCGGCATGAACTCATTGAACTGGTTGCTGGGCATGTTACCGGCGTTCATACCACCTGTGGGCGGGTCTTGATTAGCTTGTACTCTCCACATGGGTGTGACAGATGACGTACCGTCGACGCGGGGGCGCTTGTTTGGGGAAGGGGTATTTTCGTTGGACCCTGGCGAGTTGGGGCGGTTGCCGTTCATGTCCATGTTGGAGCCGTCTCGTTGCATCTGAATCATGTTGGGGTTCTTCATGGGCTGCATGCCCGCCATAGGGTTGCCGGCGCTGGGGGGAGTTAGTCGTGGTTCGAGCATCGCGAGATCGCAGAGAAAGTGCGAGGGCTTACGGTCGGTTGTTCATAGCGGCTGCCCGCTTGAGGTCGGTCTGGTTGCCGTTGGTCATGGCACCGTTCCGCATCATGTACTGGGCACCGTTCATGGGATTGGTGGCCATCATGAGGCGCTGGTCCCGCTGCTGGTTCTGGATGTGGCCCAGATTCTGCGTCTCAGTCAGTACGCTTCCGTGTCTACAACTGCGCGGCTACCTACCCGGTTGTGGCCGAGATACTGGGCGGCGTTCTTGGGCCCGCCGCCGCCGCCTCTCGCAGCGGCGAAGATGTCCCAGAACTGGACCCACCAGTCGAGCAGGAACGAGTTGTCGGCGGCCTGGCCCGGGGGCATGAGCGGCAGGGGCAGGTCGTCGGGCATGTCGATGTCGCTGGCGCCATTGGGCTTGTTGTTGGGGCTGGCCTTCTCCGTGTTGAGCTTGAGGTCGCAGTCGAGCATGGCGCGCGCGAGGGTGTGGTGGCGGTTGCGTAGGAAGTAGTCGTAGATGTACGTGTTGAGCTTTTCCTTGGGGTCCTGGTCGCCCATGCGTTTGGGATGCGCCATGTTGCCCATGATGGGGGTGCCGTTGAGGGAGCCGTTCGCATTCATCTGCGCCATCTGCGCCATTTGCTGGTTCTGCATCGCGAGGGAAGGAGTCGGGCGGCGCGGCAGGCGCGGTGGACGGGTGGGGGGTTAGCGATAGGTGCGCGGTGGTAGCAATAGACGCGCTGTGTTGTGCACCTCGGTGCTGGACGGGCCTCTACAACAGCATGGGAGGGCGTCGCCACGGTGCGTGTCGGAGCGGAGCGTCGTGCCAAGGACGGGTGGAGGACGACGATGGCGTGGAGGTCGCGCAAGATGGCAGCTCTGGGGTGCCGGGTGTGGGTAGCGACGCTGGTGTCGTCGCGATGAAAAGGCGGCGGCTGATGCACGGTACTATGGGTCGGGGGGTTAGCGTGAAGGAAGGTCTTGAACAGCGCCCTGGAGGGACCTCACGGCGCGCTACACGGGTCTGCCAAGAGATGCGATCACGACAACAACACCTGCGATATTCTTTGCCTGCACGAGAGGGCGCGATTGAAGCAACTGCACAACGAGACTGCAGCGGGATCGTGCAAACTCTGAGCTGCTCAGCGCGAGGGGAAGAGCGGCCGCTCGTGAGCTGCGCCAAGTGGTCCACGTGATCTCGGTATTATTAGATCCCCTATGCTCCAGCCTCCCATTGCGCAGCATCGCGCTCTCATCAGAACTGCCTCGATATTTGCTTTTCTACTCGCATAAAGCAATTCAAGACGTCAGACATGGCGGAATTGAAGTGTCGTGACCGCATCGCAGTATCGTATGCACCAGGGCCGATATCTAGGGAGGTTGGTGGGGCACATGTAACGCGAACCCGACCGTCATGCCCCGACCAGTACTGGTAGCAGATCATTCATACACCCTGATGGGTTCACCGACTTGGTCGTAGTTGCGCAAAATCCAAGTCAACAAGTCCTACACAGTAAAATTAAGGGGCTGCAAAGACTAAATGCACAATGTAGCCTGCGAGGCCGCCTTCAGCGATCAATGGTGCGTCGATGGTGTGGTAGTGCAATTGCGCGATTGCAATTACCCTCTAATTGGCTTCCATGGCCGTCGTCAATAGTGCACCCTATCTAGTCGTGAATCGAGTCTGAGCACGAATCGTCTGCCCGATTCCATAACAGCACGACAGTGTGCAATTCCTCGAGGCATTGTCTTCAGAAAATGCCTACCTTCGTATCGCATATCTCTCCGTCACGCTTTCACACTATACATGGATCGGCGAATGCCTGCTTGCTAAACCTAAATAGCAAGTGTAATTTCTCCTCGACCCAACCTCATTCTACTCGTCATCGGGTGGCATCTCGTCGTCAATGTAGCGGATCAGCGTTATCCGCATCTCCGTTGTGTCGTTACCGCGAAGGACGTCACTGACAAAGTGCGCTTCCACCTGCATGTGTACCTGGTGGGTGTTAGTCCATTACCCACGCCCCATCTTGACGCAGTATATGCGTACCATCTCTAGTGAACCCCGTAGCACGCCCACCAGTATGTTGGAGAACCACAGCTCGTCCTGCGCGCGGCCGTCGTCAGGCAGCTCTACGAAGTCGGCCAGCGGGTTCTCCTCGAAGATGAGGGAGAACTGCTTGTTGTCGCTTGACCAGTTGGTGATTGTCGGTGTGATGTTGAGGAAGATCTTGAAGCCGACCTACAACCGCATGTCAGCCTGCGGTCTATATCCCATTGACTCGGTGGCGCTACCTTTGAGATCATCTCCGAGACCTCGCGGAAGTTGGTGCAGGCAGGCGCGCTCGACTTGGCCAGGAAGTCTTCAATCAGCCGTATACCGATGTTGTATCCCATGCGCTCCAGTTGCTTGTTGACATCGGCGTAGTTGTATTCGTAGTCCTTGCATAGTTGCGCGACAATGGTACCGTATGTGAGGGTGACGAGTTCGGCGCTGACCTTGTCTACTCGAGTCCTGGCACTGTCAGAACCGGTCGCTCAGAGTAGCCATATGCGAGACTTACTTCCACACTCTGACATCTATTAGCACATGTGCAGCAACTACTAGACGTCTGGAGCTCACTCCTCGCCCATGCGGGCTGCTTTGGTCGATGAAGCCATTGTGCGGGGATTTAGTCAGGCGGCGTGTGTGGTTTCGAAGGGTGAGACTAGACTATTGCGTGTGTTTGGTATATAGAGTCGCGATATCAAGTCGTGTTGTTGCGTCGGGGAGCATGCGGACTGCGGAGGAGCGTACCTGGGACGCCCGGGCCCTAGCGTAGATCTGCCTTGAGGAAAGTTTACCAGCTGCAACTGACCACAACCACCGCGCACCAATCCACAGACCCCACACGCATACCGAATCAAGCACACCTCCATCGCCATGTCGAGAGAAAAGCGACCTGCCAACGAGGCTTTTGGCACGAGCCAGCTGGTCAAGCGCACCAAGTCGGACGCGAATCTGGGAAGCTCTGCAGTAGCCGTCGTGAATGGCTCTGGCGCAAATGGCGCGCTGATACAAGCGGTATGTTATGCCCACGGACTTTTGATGGAGTACCAAGCTGAAGATTGCGACGTGCTGACAGGTGCTGTAGGGCTCGCGTACCAGCGCGCTGCAGTCGCCGGTTATGGAGTTGACGGGCCATTCTGGGGAGATCTTCGCCGCGCGCTTTGATCCGACGGGACAATACATAGCTTCGGGCTCCATGGACCGCTCTATATGTCAGTCATGTGTGAACGCGTGAGAGATATGCGCTAACATGAACAGTACTCTGGCGCAGCTCTGGATCATGCGAAAACTACGGCATTCTCACTGGACACAAGCAGGCAGTCCTGGATCTGCACTGGTCGCGCGACTCCAAGGTTCTCTTCTCCGCCTCGGCAGACATGCACCTAGCAAGTTGGGACGTGGAGACTGGAGAGAGGATACGAAGACACCCAGGGCACGAGGAGGTTATCAACTGCATGGACGTGAGCAAGCGCGGTGAAGAGATGCTTGTGAGCGGGTCCGACGACGGCTACATTGGGGTGAGTGCTTCAGTATACCACTATGGAACGTTTCTAACTCTCACAGATCTGGGACACGAGAACGAAAGACGCCGTAACATTCATCCCCACCGACTTTCCCATAACCGCCATATGCCTGGCCGAGGCCGGCAACGAGCTCTTCACCGGCGGCATCGACAACGACATCAAAGTCTGGGATCTGCGGAAACAAGCCGTCACATACACACTCCTCGGCCACACCGACACCGTCACCTCGCTCCAAATGTCACCAGACAACCAAACTCTCCTCTCCAACGCACACGACTCGACCGTCAGAACATGGGACGTGAGACCCTTTGCGCCTGCAGACAGGCGCATCCAAACATACGACGGAGCCCCCACCGGCCAAGAGCGCAACCTGCTAAAGGCAAGCTGGGACTCCAAGGGCGAGAAGATCGCAGCCGGTAGCGGAGACCAGAGCGTAGCCGTTTGGGAAACGCGAACAGGAAAGCTACTGCACAAGCTTCCCGGCCATCGAGGTGCCGTCAACGACGTGCGGTTCCACCCGCTCGGCGAGCCAATTTGTAAGTACCCTGAATCTTCTTTTGCATTCGTCCCTCTACCTGTTCTCCGCTCTGGACCCCGCGCTACGCTTCAGCTTTCCGACCGGATGGCGGTCATGGCGGATTGGGTTTGGAGAACGAGCGAACAATTTCAATCGTTAGCGCTTGAGGCGGATAGGAGAGTAGTCCTTTGCATTGACACTCCTCACCGCTGAACACAAAGCTGTAATCTTTCGAACACGAAGCTAACTTGGCAATCTTAGTGGTATCCGCATCTTCAGACCGCAAGCTCATGGTAGGCGAGCTAGGCAAATGAACGTGGAGATGAAGCAACTTGGCTACGCAAACATGCTTCGAGATGGATCATCAATCCCCGGGGAAAAAACGTGGAGAGAAAAGGCCCGAGGAACATCCGGCCCCACGGTACGTCAGAAGGCGTTGTTTACATATAGAACTGGATACGCCGGTGCGACATTTGACAGGGTACGGAGTCGCATGTACTGTCTTCCCACAACACAGCGAAGGAAGGGGTCAAAAGACGCGTCGAGGAAACGACCCGCATGTTGCTTTTGGACAGTTATGACGCGCAACACCATCGACAATGTAAAGAGTAAACAAAATACAACCAAAGTCAATCAAGATGAATACCCGCGTCTTATGCACCGTTATGAATGCCGTTGCACGTAAATAGCACACTTGCGAAGCTACTGGTGCTCAGTCGTTCCTCATTGGGGTAGACGTTTCATGTTGTTTTTGTGCGAGCCAACCAGCGTGCTGCGGGCCTGACGCTTTTGCTACGCACCTCTTCTTCCGGTCAACCACCAGGACCACCACAGGCCACGGCAGCGATCTGGGATGTGTCACGGACCGCGGTTCGCGTGCATCGGTGCATCAGATCTGGATGTTCTCGAGTCTGCGGGGCCTGTCGTGCGTGCTCGCAGACGCGTTTCACCTTTCCAGCGATCAAAGTCTGATACGCCACTCGTCGCGGAAACGCATGGCGCTCAATGCTTTCTCGACTTCTGACCGTCCATCGTTATTGGGACGCTGTGACCCATGTCATCTTGGTGCGGAGCGCGCGACCACCACCTCCTACTTTCCTACTCTTTCATCTCCTTCGTGTTTGTCTTGCATCTATATTCCTTCCAGTCATTGGTAATAGAGGTAGCGGTTGCTGTGCTCCTGCTTGTTTCGCTTCTTTTCATTCTTTTGCGCTCGTTTGGCCGAGGTGCGCTGCTGGATAGCCCTGTCTGGTCCTTTTTTCCACTCTTTTCCCTTTTACTATTCACTTTCAGAGTCTGGGAACATCTTTGTTTCGACGGCTTTTCTCGAAAGTTGAGAGGTTGTTAGCCAAACGGTTCGCTCCAACTGGATTACTTTGCATATGCTGGGTAGGGTCTTGGGCAAGGGCGAGATCCATTCATTGTTCTTTCACTCCACACTTTCTGTTCCTGGAAACGGTTCGGGTACACGGCGTTCCTGCATTGGTTTTGGAGTATCCTTTCTCTTATTCGCCCTTGTCTTGTCTTGAGTGAAATCAATACAGAGACCTTTGGCTAGCACGACGCGTCTGCTATAAGGGATTCACGTACGCCCAAGATAGAACTTGGGGGCTCGTAACGGTATATTTCTGGACTTGAGGGAACCACCGCGCTATATACAGATCGCCATGTTTCGGTCACCGCTCTTCGCTTGGTCGCCGCGGCCAGACCAGAACCAGGACTTCGACGCAACGCCGGCAACGCAGTCGACATCTCGGTTCAGCGCGTTCCGCAGTAATGTGCGGGGCATGGTCAACGGGTCGTCGATATACTCGCAGTCGCCGGCTATGAATAACAACAACAATATCAACACACCCAAAACGCCCTTCCTGGGCTTCTGGAACCGCCAACAACCGGCCAACCAGGACGGGCTGCCCACCCATCAGAACGCGCATCGCGAATCACATGATTCGAGGGCTCTATTTCATGCGCACCACACAGCGGGCTCCTACATCGGTGCCATCAACCCGCCTCAAGACCCGCAGGAACCAACCACACTCTACGCTCGTCACCCAGCCGATGTACCACTGCCCAACCAGCAGGAGGGTTTCGTAGACCCCGAGATCCAGCAACTACAAGATGAGATAAACGGCCGACGACACAAGCGACGGAAGCACCGAAGGAGAAAGCACCATCGCACCGAACGATCCGCATCCAACGCATCCAGCGGTTCCAACGGATGGGTACGCAGACGCGAACAGCGCGGCACCACCGCAGTATACATCCGCGGATCAGCTGCACGCGGGAAGATGATCGCATGTGTGATATCCGGCACCTTTCTCATCACCATCCTCGCAATCTGTAAGTCTACCATCCCATCCCACCCCACCCCCAAATACGTATCAACAACTAACGTCTATCCCCCCACAGACCTAGCAATCGCCCTAACCAACCGATCCCTCGGCCAAGAAATCCACATCCTCTTCATCATGGTCCTCCTCACCATAACAATCTTCTTCTGCCACTCCCTCATCCGCCTCTGCATGCTCATGCTGAACCCGCCGCGCCACGAACACCGCGCTGCCATGCCCGACATGACGGGCGGCGGCGAGGGTTTCCAACCCATCGTCCCCATCCGCGTGCACCTGCGTCGCGACGAGGAAAGCGCAGAAGACGCGGATATGGATGCTGTGTTGGAGAACGACATGGTGGGTGCGAGTGGGGATGAGGAGGGCAAAAATATGCCGCCGCCTCCGCCGCCCGCGTATGGGCTTTGGAGGAGTAGTGTGAGGGTTGATCCGAATCTGCTTCATTGGCAGAGGGTTGATGATGCGACAAGGGGTAGCGCCATCTCCGCTGCTGCTCACTCTACCCGTGCCTCGCTCTCTGGTCCTGCGGCTCTCGCAGCAGCGTCTCTCCGCGGCAGCGCAGCGTCAACATCGTCACAACAGCCTCCCCAGCACCAGCAAGAAGGTCCCCGCCCCCCTTCTTACGCCTCGGAAGACGGCGTAAGCTACATCGTTGAAGCGGAACCGAGACACACGACGAATGTACGGGATAGCACGAGAGGCGCGTTGAACGACATTCATCCTGCGTGGCGGCCTGGGTATGCGATGAGTGAGATTAGGGGTGGCGAGTTGCCTGCGAGTGCTATGAACGGTAGTCGCTCTTAAAAACTTGTATGGCTGTTTGTTTGCTATCCAATCGTGGCATAGCGAGCGCATCGCCCAGTTTATTTGGTTATACTTGTAGCGTTCTAGCATTGCGTATCTGTGTTTTGGGGAGTGTGTACAATGGCATCGTTCTACCACTTTCAATCCTGCATCTCCTGTCCTCTATTCTCTATTCTCTGTCCTGCATTCTCAAGCTCACTTGACGACGTGCTCCTCATCTCCCACGTTTCTCACACTCTTATCCGCGCTCAGCTCTCTCGTTCTTGCTTCTTCTCATTGTTTCGGTTCTTGTCACGAAGATGAGGTCACACCGTTGGTTATGAAACGCGTAGAAGAACGAGGTGTACGTCATGCATGTTGTAGATATAGTAAACAGTTTCAGCCTCTTTGTTTGAGGGTTTGTTCTTGTCTTTTCGTCA